TCGTCGTCCCTCTGCCTTCTCTTTTCAAATCGCATCATCGCTTGGTGACCCTTCATTCCTGACCCGAATCGATTCAGTAATATCTCGAAGATCTTGTCCGCGGTGTCGCGTTCTTCTTCCTTCTTTGCGACCACGCATTTCAATGCCGTGCCTTCTAAGTTGCTAAGTATGGCCGTGCATGCTTGTCTTTCATCATTTAAGTTGTCTTGCTCTAGGTGTAATCTCATCACTTCCACCCAAGTGTCGATGCATCCATCGGAGTCGTCTTTGAATTCCTTTGGCTTCTTGAAAGTTTTTCTTGATTTTCCGTCCCTCCTATCGCTCGAGTCAGTGTTCCTCGTGGCGAAGGCCTCTAGAGTCCTGTTCATCATCTCCCAGGTGCTTGCCCATGTCATAGCATCCGGACCTGCGTTGCTGTTAGCTGTTGAGTCCCCCGGGCCAGTCGTTGTGCTTGACGTTCCATTCTTCATGATTGTTTTAGCAGCTGTTGGTGCTATGCTCACCGTATCCCGGGTTAAGGGCAACGGTGTCGATTGCCGTTTGCCCCTTTGTGGTTCCACGAAGTCAACTCTGGTGCCTTGCGTGCGATCCGCTGCCGGTCTTTCTTGTGAGGTAGAATTTCTCAAGATTGCATCCAATTTCGTCTGTATTGCACATGAACTTTCGGCCTGATTCTTGCTCATTGTGTCCATTCTCTTTTCCAGGCTGCCTAATTGGCTGTTGACATCATCATATCGGTTTTTCAACTGTTGCATGTCTTTTTTGATGTTCTTATCTCGTTCTTCATTGGTGGTTTCTAAATTATCTGACATCTCCTTGAGTCTCTCTTCTGTTGCCTTGGCCAGGTTAAAATAACTATCCAGATACTCGTTTTTGTTGTATCTTAATTCTTTTCTTATCACTTCTCTGTCCTCTTCGCTGTGCTTCAGCTTTTTGTCGATCTGATTCAGTTTCGCCATCAAGTCACCTAGCTCAAGAGTAGCCTCTTCATGGTCAGCCGTCGGTCTTTCTTCGGCCGTCGCTTCTGCTCTAGTTTTTTCCTCTCTCGGATTGGCTTCTGTCGTCTTCGTGCTCACTGTTCCAAATGTTCGTGCTCTTTCAGCTTTTGGTTCTTCAGTCACGTTCTCTTTCGTTTTTATTCCGACCATCATCGCCAACCTTTCTGTAAAAGATGTCTTTTTTACTTGAGAGTCTTCTTTCACCGTTTCTTCGGTGTTGCCTATTGCATCTTCCACGTTGTCTATTGGTGAGAATTCTATGGGTTTCGAGTTTGGTTCTTCTGCATTGGGCATTGGAGTAGACTCCGTCGCTATTTTCCTTGTTTCATCAACACTTTGATCAGGTGTCTCTAGATCAATGTCGATGGTGGGTTCTACTCGTTCCCCTTTCATGCCCTCTCTTGCTCTCTCCGTTGTACTCCTTGTGCTGACCATATTAACTGAAAAGCTCTTCTTTGTTATCTTCGGACCCATTGATGTTGTTTTGCGTAGCGACGAATTATACTTTGCTTCGGTAGGTCTTTTTTCAGCTACCGGTACCCTGCTCCGCCTCATTATTTCTATTTACAATTGCTCTTATTTACAATTTTACTATATACACAATCCTATTCTAAGAATAAAATCTTTCGAGAGGAAAAAAAAAATTCTTAAAAAAATATACAACGTGGTGAAAACCTTGTTTCAGTTCTCTTTATTAACTTTTCGAGAAACTTTCCTTATTTGTGGTCTCAACCGTACCTGGTTCCAATTAGTCTTGTTCTATCTTAATTCTGTCTTAAAACACTTCTTGTAATTTTACTTCGATTTTTATACTGTCCCAAGACTTCCAATTGCCGTCCCTACTCTTCTTTGTGCCGTCCCAGGCTTTTTTCTCCTGTCCCAAGACTTGTTCGGTACCGTCCCAGTACTTTCCGGCAGTGTCCCAAGACTCTTGTCCAATACTACTGTCCCCAGGCTAGTGTCCCAAGACTACTGTCCCAAGACTAGTGTCCCAAGACTACTGTCCCAAGACTACTGTCCCAAGACTAGTGTCCCAAGACTAGTGTCCCAAGACTACTGTCCCAAGACTAGTGTCCCAAGACCTTGTCCCAAGACCTTGTCCCAAGACCCTGTCCCAAGACCTTGTCCCAAGACCCTGTCCCAAGACCTTGTCCCAAGACCCCGTCCCAAGACCCTGTCCCAAGACCTTGTCCCAAGACCCCGTCCCAAGACCTTGTCCCAAGACCCTGTCCCAAGACCCTTGTCCCAAGACCTTGTCCCAAGACCTTGTCCCAAGACCTTGTCCCAAGACCCCGTCCCAAGACCTTGTCCCAAGACCCTGTCCCAAGACCCTTGTCCCAAGACCCTGTCCCAAGACCTTGTCCCAAGACCCTGTCCCAAGACCCTTGTCCCAAGACCCTGTCCCAAGACCCTGTCCCAAGACCACTGTCCCAAGACTGTACTGTCCCAAGACTGTCCCCAGACTGCTCTGTCCTAAGACTTCTTTGGCACTGTCCCAAGACTGTTGACAAGTGTCTGGGTGGTGGGACTTCGTTCCTCTTCGTTATGGGGACTTCTTGATTCACTGTACCTTGTACCACCACTCAAGCTCTAGTAAAATTTTCTCAAAATCCTCTCTTAAAAGCCAAATGCTGACCCCCCTTTTTCTTATTTCTCTTTTTGGCTACCTCTATTTCAATGTTCCAAGTAACTTGAGACCAAAACCTGTGCGCAGGTATCTTGTGATCACCTGTTCGTACAAAATTTTAACACAAATCCTCACCAAAATGCAACAAAAATCTAAGCAAGAAAAAGTAATAAAAACAGAAAGATGAGCCCACCTAAAATTCAAGGGTGACAAATGTCTACCTTCTATCGAAAAAAAAAATGTCTGGTACCTAATTGCCACGCGTTTCCTTCCCCCCTGCTAGCGATCTTATGGGGTATCACAAAAACTGTCTATGTCCGTTCCCCCCTACCGATCCGACCAGGGTACCTACCTTAACCTAATTCCAATTTTGGATATCCGCTTCCTATGACCAGCGCGTGTAAATGACTAATGTAACTAAATCAACGATGTCGACTAATTAGTTACTCTAATTTCTCCCCTTTTTACAATTTACAACCGCCAACCTCTAACTTAACCAGCCCCCCTTCTAACCTCCCCCCTTTTAAGCCCCCCTTCTTAAGCCTAAAATTACCTTAAGCGCCGGGTGCTAAACCTCTCAAGAGAAAACCGTAGACCTGTCTCCAGGCCTGCTCAAGTAAAAACGTTCCTCAAAACCGGGGGATATCGCTTATCCTATTTTACACTTATCTCCTATAATGTAATGTGGATTTTAACGATACCCGTTCTGCCCAACTTGAGAACTCGAGAATTGCCAAATCCTTCTTGGCTGCTTTCCCACTCGACTGGTCACCTGTTCCAGTCCAGTCTCCTATTGGTTCAGCTCAAGTGTCCCTGAACCACCTTCCCACTCGGCTGGTCACCTCTTCCAGTCAAGTCTCCTATTGGTTCAGCTCAAGTGTCCCTGAACCACTTTCCCACTCGGCTGGTCACCTCTTCCAGTGAAGTCTCCTATTGGTCCAGCTAAGTTCCAAGCTATCTGAAAACCCTTGACAACGCCCCACACTCGGGCACTTTATTCAGTTTACTGGTTTAAATTGCTAGGTTGATCGAAACGATCGAACTTGTAAAACAGTATGGGTATACTATTTAATTAATATAAAGGTTTGATCCAACTAATCTGGTGTCAAAGTCACTGTCTTTTTTCGTTTTATGGTTTTTGTTCCTTTTTCTATTCTTTTTTGGTTTTTGTTTTGCTTTTTATCTTTTTGCTCGTGTTTTTGTCCCCCTAGTTGCACCCCTTTACTCGGTTAGCTAAGCCTCGTTCGGAAAGCGTACCAGGAAGTTTTTTCGAGTTTTCTTAAAAAGCTATCACGGTACAACCGGAAGGTTTGCACGTTCCCGTCGAACCGTACCGCCGGTACTCTAGAATGGGCATTCAGCCCGAAGCTGTCTCAAGTGGGTTCGACTCCGTAGTCTTGATGTCGTAAACACCCAGGAGCGCCATAAAAACACTATGTAACATTCGTCTACTGCAGTCACACATGAGGCTTAAGAAAAATAGGCCCTATAACCACTGGCTCAAGGGTCAGGGACACCATCACTTGTGTTTTTCTACCTCAAGAACGGTCGGAGCCAGTTCGGTTCGTTTGTGACATGAGACTACGACCCGTTACAGCTTAAAGGCTACTACTAAAATATCCCCCCACTCTAGAATTAGAAACGTCCACATACTTAGGTCTCTAGATACCCAAAATACATGAACGCCGTTAAAAACCGGGTTGGAACAATCCGTTAAGTTACTTTTTATTAGACAGTGTAACTTTGATCCATTTCAGATGGATCAACCTAAAACTCGCCTTACCTCAACATAACAATTATAAAACACACTCTAGAAATTTAAATTAAGTACTCACATCGTAGCACGCTCAAGAAAGGGAAGTACTTCATTCGGTAATCAACTCGAGAATTAAATAATGTAACTAAATGAGTTTTAATGTTTATCAGTTTCAATGACAAGGACAAGTTTTAACTCTAGGATATAGTTTCTCGTGAACCATTGGGACACTCAAGCTGTCCACCTTTCCACCGAAGGTTCACTCTAGTCCAGTTCAAATAATAATCCAATCGAGTAATGACAATCCAGTTCTCGGGAATACGCTTGTCTCTGTTTCAGATGGGACAGCTCTACTCTTGTTCTATTGTGACAGAAATTGCGAATAGCAATTTCCCACCGTTTTATTTAGCAACTTTCCCGCGCTTGTTACTCGATTGTTCTGACTTCTCTTTTCTGATTTTCAGTTATCGCGAGAAAATCGTGCATGACAGGTTCCATTCGAAATTTTGAAAAATTAAATTTCACATCAAAATCAAGTGTTTTTTGCTTCTCTCAAGGTCAAACTTCCGAATATGACCGACTGGCACACTCCAGTTTGAATGCTTGGTTTTTCAGAGCAGTAGAGATGTCATGATTGTTTCCTCTGTGATTGTGACGAGTGCCTTTGCACTGACATGCTGGGCCGTGGGATCATATCCTTCATTTTTCCAAGATATCAATGCAGATGTAGGGTTGAAGTTTTACGCTGAAAGGTTGCACCTCTTGGCATTGAAAATCATTAATCATGCCATGCCTTTCAACACATTGATCACATATGTCTATTCTTTGGGTAGGTGATTTTGCAGCTGTAAGACCGGCCGCATAGTGGAAAAAATGACATCCACATTTTTTTGTTCTCTAAATCGCGATTATTAAATGCCCTTCCGGTCCAAAAAATCCTTAGCTAGTAAAAAAAACATCCAAGTTTGACGCGTTTCGATTTAATCATCATCAGAAGCTGAAATATAAAAACAGTACTGATTATAAATACAGTAACAAAAAATGAACATAAACGTGTGACAAGCTGATAGAATCAGAGTTGTAGTCGTGATATCGGAAGTAATATTCTCAATGCTATATTGTTTTGATAGTGATTATGGAAGCATCGATTTTTTTATTTTGAAATTGATAAATGAGTGTTGTTTAGTGGGATTTTACTGGGTGGTCCATTGCGTGTTCGGCTTGAAGAAGTGTAAGCCAACTTATCCTGTGTCGCCTGTTGGGCTGACTTACATCTCAGCATTTAGTCTCATGTCACTGCTGTATGGACCTATTCATCTCATGAGGATTGTGAAACAGAAACACACCTGGGCAGTCCTAGATCAGGTATAATTTCAAGCCAGTTTGTATCATATGGGTCAGTTCGTTGAACATCTCTGTCGATCTCCTTCAGTTTTTGTAGGGAACGTCGTTTCGGATTTTACCAGAGAAATAAAAACTTAGAAAGTACGTCTCGTTTTCTGAAAATCTTGAATAAACCTGAAACAATCAGAAATTACTATGTTAATTTTTTTCTCGAAAAATGTCAAAGTGTCGAAAGTTGTCAACTGTTTTTCATGTGCTCAACTAACACTCTTAAAGCTCTCTTAATTGAATGCTTTTTGTTTCAGTGGTTCACTTTGCCCTTCTTTGGATTAGTCATTCACTTTCTTCTCTCACGTACAAATCCGAAATTACAACTTGGTAAAAAGTCTCTGTTTGCTTCGGTTTCACTATCTCACGCTTCCTATGGTCTCGCCTTGCTCCATCCACTCGGGTTTGATTTGGCGCTGGCGATTCACATTTTAATAAGTGCCATACTTGGATACTCGTTTTACAATGCCAAAAAAGAACCAGAAATCAGACTTCTGGTAGTCAAAACTGTACTCAGCTGCGCAGGGTTTGTGGTGCTAAAATTAGCCGATTTCTACTTGGCAGAATTGCATCTAATTTTCGAAATATTTAGTGGACACTTTTTGTCTAAAGTATGCGATGTGATGCAGATTTACTACTCTCTTCTAATTATGGAGGCAGATTTGTATGATTCGTCTCCGCAGATCACAGAAATGGGACAGAAAAAGAAATGAAAGACTACGAAAAAACTAACTTGATTTAAATAAAAGTTCTTTAAATTTTATCACAAATTTGTTTTTGTCTAACGCATTTGATGTTATGTTTCCCAGATTTAAATTCGAATAAACGTTCCGATAGTTTAATTTAACTTCACACTAAATCTGAGCGATAAATTGGACGTTCATTCTTAAAAAAGTGAAATTATTGCGCTTTGAAAAAAAAGTAGCTACAAATGAATAACGATGTCTACGGTTGAAAAGCTTTTAGCACCAGAAAATGCAGTGAAAGCAATGAATTATGAATTTCATTACTTGGAATTCTTTGTCGGTATATGTTTTTTTTTCTATACGCATTTTACATTGTAGATGTTTTTAATGTTTTCATTTACTACTTCTTTTCCGAGCGTTCCGAAGTTTTCATTTACTACTGCTTTTCCGAGCGTTCCGAAGTTTTTCTACTGTTTTTTTGGCTGTTGTACAATTTTTTCACCTATTTCTTGCAAGTGAGGCAAAGCTCCGCTTGGCCGCCGTGTTTCAATTAAAGTTAAAGTTCATTTTAGGTTCAAAAGAGCCAATTAGCAAAAAGCTGGTTGCTAGATTTGTAAAAGAGTTTGTCAGAACGGCACTGCACATTTTGTTGTCTGTTAGAAAACATTGCAATTATCGTAATTGAAGTCTTAAGATTGAACTAGTTTAAAATGAAATAGCTCATGTTCCTGTGCAATCTTAACATAGTTTTTAAATTTTTCAATGACCTTTTGTGTTTAAAAGGAAAAAAAAACCGTTCGGTTTTTGCGTTGTGCTTTTTTTGGCAAGTACTGTGCATCAAACATTTTTTTAAATTCTTATTAGTAGATGTTGTCCAATCTGTGCCGGTAATCGAAAGAAATACAGCTACCTTGAAAATACCAATAAACGCCCAGATAATATTTTAAAGCTCAAAACTCCAAAAGCGCCTATAACACCCAAATTTTAATGTTAGATTGGAGAAACACTTTTGGTGCTGCATTTTTGTCTTGCGATTACTCAGTGTTCAAAGTTTTCAATAAATTTTTTGTTCAAGTGTTGAAGACTGAATTAGTTGTCATTTAATTAATTTTTCATGATGTTTTTAAGTGTTTTGAATTATTTTGCATTGAATAATTGCAACTTCGGTGAAAAATACAATCAATGGCTGTCAAGCTCCTGATTCCAAATTAGTTTATTGATTTTGTGAACAGCTTCATTTTTTAAATTCGAAGGCAGAATCATCCAGGATGTTGGTCGTTTGAGATTTTGGCTGAAAAACCGTTCCAGATAACTAAACGGTTGTCGCAAGAAGTTTTGAGTCATATATGGACTCCCTTTTGAGAGTTTAGTTTTTTGTTCCAACTTTCAGTGAAAGTGACGGAATATTTGCGCTCGGGGTTTTTTTTTTCTACAGACCAATTTCCACTTTTTAAGTATGTTTTCACGGGTTTTTTAATATGGTGTTCGTTGACATGACCTCAAGTTTAAAATAGGTATCTTTGACCTCAACTGAAGCTTAATAATATATGTCACAAGTGTTCATTATTTGTAAAGTTCGAGGGTCTTAAAGATTTCAAATTTGGGACAACTAACGCGTGATATAGCCAGAATAGAATAAATTTAGTCGGTCTCACGAATAGTTCCAAAATAAATTGAGGTATGCTATTTGGTCTATTTATTAGTTTGCGCTTTGCACAAAAAATAATTTCTTTTGAAATTTTCATCACTTTGTTAAAAGTCATTCAGGGTTTTCCCCCTGATACGAGCAGTTTTATTCTAACTTGCTATGGTTCAGAATTTCAAAATCGAAGTTCGCTTTGTTATCATTTGCCTTAACAGCACATGCTGATGTTTTTTGAGCTTAGAGATGAGACATTTTTTGATTCGGTTAGTTTATATTTGCGCAAGTCTTGACTCAAAACAAGTGAAATAAAAAAAGTAGCTCCAAATTATCAACCATAATTTTTTTGTGGGCAGTTTCTACAACTTAAACTGGGAAACGCAACTTGCAAGGATCTCAAAAGTTCACTCATTCATAACAATTTAAGTTCAAATAACAAAATACAGTTTTTTTTATTTTACACTAAATTAAAAAATAATAATAATTGAAATACAAAATCAATGTGGAATTTGTAGCATTCCATTTTTTTATTTTCATTTGACTGGACACACTAAAGAACTATTTTTCACAGCCGATAAGATGTAAAATGAAGACAATGACTGGAATGTATATCAAAATTATGGTTTCTTAACTTCAGTAATGACATTGATATATCTATCCGGAGTTATCAACAATGCCAAAATACAGCAGTTCCGTTATTGAAAAGTGTTTAAGAGTCCCTCGGAATTAAAAAGTGCTGAAATTTAAAAGTTTTAAACAGTGCCGCCGAAGTACAACCATGCGTAAATAGGAAAGAGTTCAGCGGTTCCGCCGAAGTAGACCTATGCCTAAATTGAAAAGTCTTCAACAGTGCCGCCTAAGTACAACTATTCCTAAATTGAAAAATTTTCAATGGTGCCGCAGAAGTACAACTATGCCCAAATTGAAAAATTTTCAACGGTGCAGCTGAAGTACAACAATGCCGATATTCAAAAGTGTCGCTGAATTACAGCTATGCCTAAATTAAAAATGTTCAATTGTGCTGAAATCGAAAACTGTCCAACAATTCCGCGGAAGCATAAGAATTGATGAGATTGACAACAAATTTCATCTGAGCTGAAATTGAGAAGTGCTAAAAATTGCGTCTGAAGTACAACTATGCCTAAATTGAAAAAAGTTCAACTGTGTTGAAATTGAAGTGTTCAACGAAGTCGCCAAAATTCAAAAATGCCGAAATTGATAGAAGCTCAAAAGTACCAAATGATACAATAATGCCTAAATTGAAAATAATTCAGTTGTGCTGAAATCGAAAAGCGTTCCTCGGTGCCGCCGAAGTAGAAAATTGAGGAAATTGAAAACTGTCCACAATCGCCAAAATTGAAGTGTCCAATAGTGCCGTCGAAGTACAACAATGCCGAAATTAAAAATTGTTCAAAAGTGCCGGCGAAGTACAACTGAAGAAACTGAGAGTATTCAAAAGTGCCGAAATTGAAAAGTTTTTAACGGTGCCGTCGATTTAGATTTGTTCCTAAAATGAAAAATATTCAACAGTGCTACCGAAGTACATATATGCCTAAATCGAAAAGTGCTCAATTATTTTGAGCTTAATAGTGTTCAACGTTGGCGCAGTAGAACACCATCGTCGAATTTGAAAATTGTTCAAAAGTAATGCCGAAGTAAAACTATGCCTAAATTGAAAAATGTTCAACTGTGCTGAATTCAAAAAATGTTCCACAGTGCTGCGGAAGGACAAAAATTGACGACCTTAGAAGTTTTTCAGCTCTGACGAATTTGAAAACTGTTCCTAAAGGTCGCCAAAGCACAACTATGCCTAAATTGGAAACTGTTAGACTGTGCTGAAATCGTAAAGTGTTCCACGCTGCCGTCGAATTAAAAAAAAAGGACGAAAATGAAAAAGGTTCAACTGCGCTGAAATTGAGAAGTGTTCAAAAGTGCCGCTAAAGTACAAAGAATAACCAAAGTGGAAAGTGATCAACGGTGCCGAAATTAAAAACTGTTCAACAGTGCCGCCGAAGTAGAACAACGCCAGAATGGAAAAGTTCAACGTTGTCACCTAAGTACAATTATGCCTAAACTGAAAAGTGTTCAACTGTGCTGAAACAATAAAGTGTTCCACGGTGCCGCCAACGTGAGAAAAATGATGAAATTAAAAAGTATTCAATCGTGCTGAAATTTAGAAGCGTTCAAAAAAGCCACTGAAGTACAAGTATGCCTCTATTGAAAAATGTTGAACCGCAATGCTATCGAAATTTTTTCACGGTGCAGCTTAATTACAAAAAGTGGCGAAATTGAAAAGGATTAAAGTTGCTGAAATAAAAAAAAGTTTAACAATGCAACCGAAGTATAGCAATGCCGAATTTGAAAAGTGTTCAAAAGTGTCACCAAATTACAACGGACGACATTGAAAAGTGTTCAGAAGTGTCGCCGAATTACAACTATGCCTAAATTAAAGATGTTCAACTGTGCTGAAATCGAAAACTGTTCAGCAATGCCGCCGAAGCATAAAAATTGATGAAACTGAAAATTTTTCATCTGAGCTGAAATTGAGAAGTGTTAAAATGTGCGACTGAAGTACAAGTATGCCTCTATTAAAAAGTGTTCAACTGCTGAAATCGAGAAGTGTTCCAGGGTCTAGCCAAATAACAACCACGCCTAAATTTCAAAATGTTCAACTGTGCCGAAATTGAAAAATGTTCAACGATGTCGCCGAAAAACAACAATGCCGAAATTTATAGAAATTCAAAAGTACCGCCGAAGTACAATAGTGCCTAAATTGAAAACAATTCAGTTGTGCTGAAATCGACAAGCGTTCCTCGGTGCAGCCGAAGTAGAAAATTAAGGAAATTGAAAAGTGTCTTTTATCGCCAAAATTGAAGTGTCCAATAGTGCCGTCGAAGTACAACAATGCCGAAATTAAAAATTGTTCGAAAGTGCCGGCGAAGTACAACTGAAGAAACTGAGAGTATTCAAAAGTGCCGAAATTGAAAAGTTTTTAACGGTGCCGTCGATTTAGATTTGTTCCTAAAATGAAAAATATTCAACAGTGCTACCGAAGTACATATATGCCTAAATCGAAAAGTGCTCAATTATTTTGAACTTAATAGTGTTCAACGTTGGCGCAGTAGAACACCATCGTCGAATTTGAAAATTGTTCAAAAGTAATGCCGAAGTAAAACTATGCCTAAACTGAAAAATGTTCAACTGTTCTGAATTCAAAAAATGTTCCACAGTGCTGCGGAAGGACAAAAATTGACGACCTTAGAAGTTTTTCAGCTCTGACGAATTTGAAAACTGTTCCTAAAGGTCGCCAAAGCACAAGTATGCCTAAATTGGAAACTGTTAGACTGTGCTGAAATCGTAAAGTGTTCCACGCTGCCGTCGAATTAAAAAAAAGTACGAAAATGAAAAAGGTTCAACTGCGCTGAAATTGAGAAGTGTTCAAAAGTGCCGCTAAAGTACAAAGAATAACCAA